TTTGCTGGTGTGAGTTTAATAGAGGATTGGACGTACAAAATTTGGTGTCAAAATATTTTATAGAAAAAAAAATGAAAAATAAAATAGTATAGAGACGTGACATTGTGATTCAGACAACCTTAGCCTTTCATTTAGAATGGATGGCTGGATAAAGGGAAGCATATAACTTTTGTGTTGTAGGGGAAGCATAGAAAGCTTGCCCTATATATGCAACGCCTATAGGCAAAAATAAATAGTGATTTTGTCTATGCTCATCACCGTCAAAAGTTCATCTCAAGGTCACAGATGTCCGGTAGTGTTTCATTTTTCTTTTTTTTTTTGTTTACAAATCAAAATGATCTAAAATTTGAAGCATATGTCCATAAAAAATAGGTCAATCTAATAAAAATATAAAAAAAATAATTCGTAAAATATAAATTGAACAAAATATCTCTAAACATTTATGGGGGTATTTTGGTCAATTTATATTTTGAGAAATATTTTTTTCATATTTTTATTAGGTGTACCTCGCTAAGATGTACACATGCTCTAAATTTCAGATCATTTTAATTTTTAAAAAAATTAAAAATTGAAACATTAGTGGACAATCATGACAGTGCTTTGGACGGTGATGAGCATAAGCGCAATCACTATTCATTTTCGCCTATAGGCGTTTTATAGTATCTTCCATATATATATATATATATGTGTGTGTATGTGTGTGTGTGTGGAAAAAGTTTATATAGAGCCGACGCTCTAAAAAATCAATTTTGAGCCTACCCCAAAAATTTCACTAGAAGATGATGTTTTAATGCCCAAATGTCCTCAAATTGATCATCTCAATATCAAGATGCATGGACATGAGAAAAAAAAATGGATTTCAAGTGTTGAACATAGTGTATTATATAACGTATTTTTAGACCGTCAATTTTCAAGACTTTTAAGTTTTCATAGATCTATTGATCTAAACTATTTTTTGGGCTTCAAAATTTATAAATAAAAATGAAAATATATTTTAAGGCTATCACAAATATTTTCAATATTGAAACCACATTTCTCGACATTATTTGAAAGTAAGCTCTAATTTGATGGTTTAGAGCCTAGGCTCTATACAAACCTCACCCTATATATATGGTGTGGTTTCCATAAGGTTGCAACCTTAAACAATCCAATTAACGCGCACCTTCTAATTTTATCATAACATATAATTTTGATGTAAAATATTCTTAGGATTATCTCAAAATCTATTTTTATATCTAATTATAAAATTTTAAACTCCAAGAGTAGTTAAAATCAAGTAAATCTATAAACATATGAAAATCTTGAAAATGGATGGTCTAAATAATGTGTTGTAAGATGCACTATTTATGTGACTCAAAATCCTTTTTAATTCATAATCATAGATCTCGATGTCAAGATGATGAATTAGAGGGTTTTTCAACATTAAAATAATCTTTTTCAATAAATTTTTGAGGTGCATATGTAGTTCCACATTTTTAAGGTTGCAACCTTATATAA